TGGGAGTTGAAGTCCACTCATCTTAAAGTGCCCAAGTTTGGACAACACTGCACCAGACCATGTTTTGGGAAGTAGGAAAATCAGGTCTTCGGCTATCACTCTGGGAGGGGTGTGGATCATTTTGGTGCTGGGAGAAGAAGAGGAGAAAAGTGTGGGAAAATGCCTCTTTCACTGCCAGTTCTCTTAACCGCAGGGAATGATCATTCCATGGGGCTGGAGATGTGGGTCTTCTGCTACCCGGAACTGACCCCAAAAGATGCATTCCCACCCCACTTCTTACTTCCTGCATCCCCCATCTTCTGCTTTGTGGCGGAGTCTGAGAGGAGTTGGAAATGCGGATAAATTAAACATCTTAAAAGGGATCTGACTCAAATTGTGTCTTTCGGTGTGCGTTAAGGATTCCTGTTCAATAGGAGTGGAATACGGGATGATGGCTAGCGTTTTAATTTTGGTGTGGGTCAGCTGAAGGATTATGTTGTTGTGCACTGATTGGTGAACATACTTCACAACTTACACATACTTGCCTACTCATAGCAAGAGTAATATCCAGATCTAAGCTTCAGCTTTAGTGGAGATTCTGCAGAAAACAAGCAATGCTGGAAATTTTTGGCATAACGGGGCCAAACTTGTTTCAAAAGTGTATTATTCTGGTTGCCGGACACTGGAGGGCTCTCTCCTCTGTTGAAACTACAGCCTTGTTGCAAATTTATTGCATTTCTTCTCTTGATTTTAAAAAGCTGTTGTACATCCCTCTTCCCCTTCAGAGCAGGTGACTGTAGCCTTATGCACCGAATCTAGCTGGGTCTCATAAGGGGACCCCCGTGGATTGCCGGGGCTGGACTCTTCGACTAAGTTTGCCCTGCGTAAGAGGCTCTCGCATACGCTCCCGAAGTGAATGCCGCTCCGTTGAGATGGCTTTCAATTAAAAACGGTCAAATGGCCAGTAGACAAGCTGAATTCTTCCCCATCAGCACCGCTGGAGGGCCAGTCTTGATAGATGTTCCCTCTGCATCGCTCAAGGGCTGGCAGCAATCTGATAGGAAAGGAAAGGAAAATCAACCAGGGGATTGAACAATTTAATGGAATTGGAGCTCCTACCGGTAGGACGTGATCAGTACAGCCCGGAATACTGATCTGATGGGTGGGACATGGGGACATGCTCACGGTCACTCATGCCCTGGTTACCTCCCAAATGGACAACTGTTATGCACTCTACATGGGGCTGCCCTTGAAGAGCATCTGGAAGCTTCAACTGGTGAAAAATGCGGCTGGGGAATTCTGGGAGTTGAAGTCCACCCATGCTGCCTGGGGAATTCTGGGAGTTGAAGGGTACCCATGCTGCCTGGGGAATTCTGGGAGTTGAAGTGCACACGTCTTAAAATGGCCAGAGTTAAGAAACACTGTGCGGAAATAGCCTTTGCCATTGCCCAAAACATGTTCATTTCAGGTCTCCTTTCAAATTGGGAAAAGAACCCTTGTAAAGCGAAAGGTTTATCCAACCAAGTAGCTGGAACAGAACAGATCTATGAGCTGGACAAAGTCGAGCATCAACTTTCTGCCAGGCAGTCAAAAAAGTCAAGATGGCGGCTACAACTCCATGATGGAAACCCTGCCTCATTTTTTACTGGCTCCAGACATCATTAGCTCTTTTCCCATTGGGCAGGCAAGCCACAGTAGGTGGGGCTCGACCTCTGTAATCAATGAGATTGGATGGAGTTAGTTTAATCCAGTGTTGTCCCACCC